GCTCTTAGGCTACATAAAAGAACAGTACCAATTGTAAATGTTGCACGTGCTACTTATATACAAAAGCTACACGACATGACCTATTCAATTGCCTTTTCCGTCAATGTGGAGCTTACTTATTTCCCGCATTAGTCGGCGAAATTCTAACACTAAGTTGACAGCGCTACCAAAATTGTTTTAAAAGCAGCGCAAGGGGTTGACATCGCGGCTATAAAGGGTCTACCAAGGGGAGTGTGGGTAGAGAGGGGCACACATTTCTTGAAAATTTCACACTCAAGTGTGCAAGGAAAATGTCAGCAATGAGTGTTTATGTGTGTGTGTGTGTGTGTGTGTCTAAGTCTGCGTGCGTGTGTTGCGCCACACATACATATGTATGGCTACAATTGAGTCCCTGGAAATCAGTTGCGAGTTGTCAGCTGAAATGGGAATTTGCTTAAAGTGCAAATGAGGCAACGGTTATCAGACCGAGCAGCTCGACTGGCAGGCATGGAAAGACACTCAGCAGACTGCCACGAGAGTGTGTGTGTGCCACACACAAACACACACGCATAGTTAGCATACACATATGGAAAAGGTTACTTCATTGACATGCACCTTAGTTAGTGTTAAACGAAGCTAACCTTGTCAAGCGGAGGCGCATGTTAATGTCAAAGAAAGCAAATGGATTTGCAATGCCCTGTAGCCATACAAATGTCATTAGTGGGTATTTTAAAACACGTAATAATGACATCTCTTTACGTATAATACAGTGTCCTGACTGACTGTCTAAAAGTTTTTAGGTTTTAGGAAATTTCACCTACAAGTGTGGAAAAATCGCGGAAACTTTCAATTACTTGGCACTCGTGATCCGTTTTACAGGGTATTTTCAGAAAAACAGTTGCTACCCAAAATAGTTTTACTGGCTTTTGTTGACTGTTGCTTGTGTTGACTTATTGCTGGCAGTTGAAAGTTAGTTGCATTTTTAGAGTGATCTTTAGGGTAGAGCAAACACACGCACACCCACACACACACCCACACACACACACACACACCTAAATTAATAACAATGATTACTATTGACTTTTCTGCGACTCAAGCTTTTACTGTCACAGCCCCAACTGCTGCTGCTTACCACAAACTCATCTGCATTGCAGGCTTTTCGCCTGCCACACACACACACACTCGCACACTCACACACTCGCACACTCACACACAGCATCTAGTTGATAACTATAACTACACTTGACTAGAAGTCACTTTTAGACACTCTGAACCCTGCCATGAAATGTGGCAAGTGATGTGGCAAGCAGCAGCAGCAGCCCGTGCCTCAACTACACGACAATCGCAATGATGAGGACAACTTTTTCGCACAACACTGTCAAGAGGGGAGCCCGATGGATAAGGGGGGAAAGTTGTGGCGCAAGGGGCACGTTTGTTGCTCGAAAGCGTCGTAATTTGATTGAATTTGCGTTGATTAAGCGTATTTAGCTGTTGGCAAATTATGTTTGTATGTGTGTACACATGTACATATGTGTCTAATTGGGAATTGACTTAATTGTTTTTGCAGCGTAACGGCTAATTGCGATGAGCGTAACTCGTGTTTTCTCACACGTGACACGACTGAGCGGGCACTTGTGTCTGCCAGATGTGGATAGGTTAGCATGACTATTGTTCCAGATCAGCTTAATCGAAAGGTTCTTGCCCAATACTTCGTCGAATGTATTTCCAGAAAAGTGTGGCTGTCTTCTGCGAAGTGCGGTCACACAGGAATTTCCTGCCTCTTATGCGCATTCGTGTTAAAAAGTCGACGACTTTGTCTTGACTAACCATCTGATTTAATTCATTTATTTTTTTATTCTGGATATTCGAATCCCAAACCAGAGCCAACCTCATTTCCTTTCTCTACCCGACACTCTTGAATAACTTCTGTGTTTATTTTCCGATCTTTTTGCCATTTTCAGTGCTTGAAAATAGCATTAAAATGCATAAGTATCCAGACTTTTCCTGTAAACTGCTTGATTTTGTAACAACGGTTGAAGATTCTGAAAAATAATGTTTTGAGCAAGATGGTATTCAATTTCGTGCTCCATCAAAGTCGAGTTTTGCCCATCCGCAATGAGAAGTCACTTCATTACATCCATCACAAGCGGCTGCTTCTTCTTATCCTCTTGGCAAGCCGCAAGTACTCTTTATACTTATGTTTTGCAGTGACGCACAAGTTGACTGCACACTTGCGGGTTAGCGAATTCTGGGAAGGGGTTTATTTTGGTTTCGAATTAACGCAATTAGCAAGTGCACACACACGTACACACACACGCATGCAAACACCCTCTAACTTTATTAATGTGGCTTTGGTGGGTCGGGATTGAAAAGGGGGAATTACAGAGTGTTCTGATTGCAAACAGCGTTTTGCTGTTTTAATTGAAAATGTTGCGCATACGCCATGTAGTACATATTTTCGAGGACAATTTGTTGTTGACTGAAGTTTAACGCCCGCAAAATTGACACAAGGCCGCAAGCTCTTTAATCTCAACTGCGGCTGCTTTGCGGATTAGAACTCAGCGCCAGATTATGCAAATGTTAAATAATTATTGAAGCGATTTTCACCTGTTTTCACTGGAAATTTGTTGATTGAATTAAGTGATTAACATATTGTTGAAATAGTTAATTCGCGGCGTAAACAGCAACAGGAAAGCGACATCAAATTTTGCTGTTTTATAAATGTTTAAAAATACGTTTATTTGACTTGCGATATATTTGTATTTAATTAAAGTTTATAGCAATTAGTCAAAATATGTATAAGGAAGAGTAAAATGGTAGGAAGAAGCATTTCTGATGAAATTTTATTTTTTCAATATCCTCCAACATCCAAAAAGCGATAAATATTGATTTAGAGTGTTTATAAAAACTAGACGATGCATATTTTTTTATTTATAGGTTCTTATAAAGCACATTTCTAAAATTAACAAAATATTTATTTACTCTATGAAAACCTCCAGTCCAGTGTATGTGAACTCCATCATAAATCCTGGTAATTTTTTTCAAGAATCGCTTTGTAAATATGAATATTATTGATGAGTAAAATTATTTTAAAAAACTCCCCGTGCTCCATGCGCCTATTAATTACAAATGCATGTTGCGGAGCTGGGCACACGGTATCTCCTAGTCTGGTATCCTCGGCGCGAGAACTTTTCATTGTTATTCCATTGAACTTGGTTTCAAATTTCATTCCCAATAGGGAGTTTAGATTTTCAAATTCCGAGAAACAGTTCAATAAAATGCTTCGATTGTTTTGCAAATAATTGGGCGCCCTCAAGGTCTCAGTATTATTGAGTTGTAAAGAACGGAGAAATACATATTTTATTGCTCGTAATTGATTATGTCTAGTGGGGCTATAAGGCATAACAATGAAATTCCTAGTTACGCGGCATTCAGAGATGGAGTATTTTAAAAATAAATTCCGCACGCAGTTGAGAATTTGCGCAACTTCTCGGTAAGAGGCATTCCTAGAACACATGCTTTTTTCCTATATAAACTAGGAAGTACAACTTTTCGGCGTATTGCTCTCTAAATTTTAAATGCTGATTGCTCAATCGGACAGCTTGTTAATTAGTAAGATATGCATTTGGTCAATTAGTAAAGCAATCGGTCGTTTAGTTAATCAATCAGTCAAGCTGTCACTTAGTCAGTTGTGTGGTCCACGAGAAGAATAATTCTCATAATCAGTCAGTTCAATTCTCATAAACGAATCAATTCAGTAATTTATTCAAACAGTAATTGTGGTCCATCAGTAAGGCAGTAATTCTGTTGCAATTCATTCTCTGTAGTCAATCAGTTGGTCAATCGATCAGTCATCAGTCTATTAAAAAGTCTGCTTTGTGAGTAAATTAATCTGTTAACCCACCAATAAGTCAGTCATACAGCTAGTCAATCAATTAGCAATGTTCTCAAGCAAGTCAGTCATTCAATCAATCAGTCGATTCAAACAGTCAGCATTCAGTTAGTCAATCAATCAATTATTTGATCCATTAGTAAAGCTCATTCTATTGGTCAATCATGCAATCATTCCATTGCTCAATCAATCGGTCATTCAGTTTGTCAACCAGTCAGTTTTGATAGTCAATTAGTCAGTCAACCATTCACCAAATCAATCAGTCAATCATTTGATCATTCTATAAGTCAGCTATTCAGTTCGTAAATCAAGCATTCATTCAGCTAACCAGTCGACTTATGTAGTCAACTAATCAGTCAACATATCAATCAGTCGTTCAGGCAATGGTTCAGTTAATGAGTCAGTCATGTGGTCAATCGCCAGTCACTTTTTCACACATTTAAATGAATATTAAAAGGTTTCAAGATGAAGCTAGCTCTTCAGATTTGAATTCGGAGTAATAGTTAGAAAGAGACAAAGCAAGAGATAGAGCGAGAGACTCTGTGAATATGGGGACAATATTGTCTTGATATTCTTGTTTGCCACTTGGTCCAACAATTGAGGCCATTGGCCACTTTATCTTCATATTGCGCGCACACACACCGCTGTCACATTAATCCATTAAAATTCACAGAATTGCATTTTGCGTCCAACTTTGCCACAACTTTTGGGGGCAATGCGTTGTTGCAAGTCATAAAGTTGGAAGCGTGCAGCACAGAAAGAAAAAAAAAAGAGTGTTCGGCCAGAATGGACACATCAATGGCAGCGGCACATTAGCCATGGCATTAGCGCCAGCTGGCAGCAGCAGCCGAGGCAGACCCCAAGGCTTTCTCTTTGGCCATAAAACAGTGTCTGCATTATGTTAATGGTCATGCTAATGGTAACTAGGCCGGGCCAGTGACCGCAACAGAGTGGGTTGGCGACACTTGATGGTCATTAAAATGTCCAGGGTAGCGTGAAGCTGAAGTAATTGCGATAGTTTACAATTTGTCAACAACTTGCAACAGCTCAAAGCTGCTGCCCCAGCTGCAGCTTAGCCCGGTCTTTGACACTTGCTGCCACTTATATTAAATTCCTATCCCTTTTGCAGGCGCAAGGACAGCAGCGCGTTGCAGCGCTCGGCCAGCATTGATTCCTTTGCGGAGATTGTGTTTAGCGACCTGCCACGCCCCACTCTGGCCGTCCCATGCAATGTGGCAGCGTCAGCAGCAGCAGCAGCAGCAGCGCCCACACCGTTCAGCAAACGGCCCTCGGCCAGCAGCTTGTATTCCACGTGCAGCAGCATTGCCGCCGCAACAGCCGCCTCCGGGCAAATGCACGCCCAGCTGAATGTCAATTACGGCGACCTGGCGGCACATCCTCAGCCCGGCAATTGCAGCAGCAGCAGCAGCGCCGCCAACAGCCGTCGCGAGAGCATGCTGAGTCCGTCCTCAACGCGACGCAACAAGCTGACCAGAATCATTAATGGTAAGTGATGGGTGCGGGGCGAAGCGGGAATTTGCTATTTAGCGGCAGCTAGAGAAGAGCGCGTGCTCGACACGAGCACGAGCACGTGCATCGTGTTAAGTTGCGTTGACGCCAACAACACGCGCCCTACTCTAAATCCAGTGCAGCAGCAACGTGACACGTGTGCCACATCGACAAAGCAGCCTTTGCCACGTTGAGGCAGATCTTATTGGCAACTTGCGGAGAATCTCAGGAAGAGCAGCAGCAGCGGGCTCAACGGTTTATTTATTTTGCAGCAGCAGCAGCAGAGTCGGCAGCGGCGGCCTGATTGAAATTCAAATGCGCACTTAAGCTCTTGCTCGGACTCCTGACGCCGCATAAAAACGATGTCCCAGAGGCCTCAGCAGCTCACTGGGGCATGAGTAGGGTAAGGGACGCGGGGGGGTGCTTAAACGAATCAAAAGAAAATAAGAAATCAGAACGGGCAACAGAATGCTGCACTCGACGAATAAAAAACAAAAATTCCAAGAATTGAGTACTCATCAATTTCCTAGCTTATTTTAATTAAATATAAATCCCGAAATTCTTGAATACTCCACCAGGAAAAACAGTTAAAAACACTTTATTTTATGCATGCAAATTTTTTTATTTTATTCAAATTTTTTGCTTACTTAATTTAAGACTTTTTTTTTCTTAATCTTATAACATTAACGGTTAATTTTGAAATTGGGTACTTTGTGCATTATTGAAAAATATTCAAGGCGAAAAATTGTTAGTTCAGAACCGTTTCCCTAAAAATGTAGAACTTGGATTTTCTCTGAGTGTTCCCCCCCTCCCCATATCAATGCCATATTCCATCCCCCATACACACACTCCACGCTGATAACTAGTTTTCTTAGCTTTATCAGCGACTTCCGCGGAAAAACAGTTTTGATTTCAATATATTATTTACATGCATATGTATGTATGTCTTATGTACATGTATATTTTGAAGGCCAACCCGGCCCCCATTGGAGCATACATAGCTTCGCTGCGATAGCAAAAAAATATATGTAAATAATAGTAAAAGCTTAAGAGAAACGATCGTCGGCATTTTTTTAATCGCTGCACAGTTCCACGAAATGGCGACGCCGACGACAACACCAGCTGAGAGCGGCAACTGAGAAACGTCTAACTGTGAAGCGCTGACCATTAACGACGCTCAGTCGTCCAAGACGTTGACGCTCTGGCTCAGCCATTGACGTCGCCGTCGCTGTCGCTGCAACTTCAATTTCAGTTGACTAACGACTTTTGATGTGAGCGCAGCGCGCGGCTTGTCGTGTTGCGGGCAGAGTTACAATAACAACAAATAAGAAACGAAAATTTTAACCAATTCAAATTGTGCACAGTGAGAATATGATATAAATATGAAAACGATCAGTATAAAAGTTATACTTAAAATTAATTAAGCCACAGCTTATAACTTTGTGACGTCGTTTGGCAAAAATAAACGAAAGAAAAGGCAACGGCAAGCAATAAAAAAACGCGACGCCTTGCGTATTCGTTTCTGCTTCGTTGCGTTTGTGTGAGTGTCTCCAACTACCTGTTTGCGGCTGCGCATGTGTGTGTGAGAGGGAAAGAGAACAAGCAACAACTGAGTTACCTGCGTCGACGCCGACGCGTCAGAGAGTTTGCCCACAGTGTTATGTAGAGAGCGTATGCAATAAACAAACTGAGAGAGTGAGCGAAATTTAACGAATGATCGTCGTGTTTTAGTTGTTGTGTCAAAAACTAAACGCGTCGCTTTCGTTTAAAAAAGAAACGCTGAGGCAACAACCTACAATGAAAACAAGAATAACAACAAACAGCAGCCGCAGGGAGGGTAACAGAAGTTGGCTACCGACTGGGGCTACCGCAGCTCTTCCCCACAGCGCTGTTGCTGATGATGTTGCCACTGGCATTTGCTGCCGTTGCAATGTTAATTAAATATTACGTGCCAGAAAAAAACAGCAATTTACAGCAGCGAGACAGCACAAGCGGCAGCGTAGATCTAACTGTAATTGCATTGCGTGTCCAACTGTTGTTATTATTTGCACGCGCAACTTGAATAAAATTTACAACAATTACAACTACAGCTGCAGTGAAAGTGAACTTTTGCTTTTTTTGTTGTTGTTGCCGTTGCTGTTTTTGTTGCTTTTTTATTGTTTCTTTTCCATTGTGCGAGACATCAACTTGACTACAGCAAATTTACTCACGTGTCTACCCTGACGACTCGCAGCAGCAGAAGCAGACAGAGTTGTCTCGAGTCGTTCACACTTAGTTCATTTGAACTCTGAGCTGGACAAGTTTAATTTACTGCAAAGCAAATCGAAATTAAAAATGAATACAAACACGAAATTGATTACAGGGCGGGATTAATTAATAACTGAGCAAAAATTAAGTATTAATGAACAAAAGAACAATAGTGAACAATATTTTCGCTCAAAAAAATAAGAACTAGTGAACTGCGTTAGTGAACTGAACCGGAAATTACAACTCTAGCGGCAGCGCCAATGGCAGCATAATTACAACAAGTCGCAGGGCAACTTATCCAGTTGCATCTCTTTCTCACACACATAAACACAATACGCCGCCCGCAAGCTGCAAAAAGCTTTGCGCGTTGCTCACTTTGTTTTTTTTTTTTTGTTTTGTTTTTTGTTTGTGTTGTTGTTTTCGCAGCAGTTTTGTAGCCGTCGCGTCGTCGTTTTCATTAAAGTTGTTTGTGTTGCAATTTGCAGTGCGCCGCACAATGAACAGGTAAGCAAAAGCATAGCACACACACACATACCCACACTGATACTAAGTACTTCGTCTTCAACTTTGTGGTTAAAATATGCAACGCCATGAAAAACTTGAACTATTGCAGCATTTTTACGGTTTTACTGCAAGACACTTTTCCGAGATGCGTTTTTCCAAAAGTTTATTCACATTTCCACAAAATCGCATCTGAATTGTATTTGGTTGTTTGCACTTACCTTTACAGGTTTTCATGTTTGTTTGTCTTTTTTTTTTTTTTTTTTTTTCTTTGTATTTTGCGGCTGCGACTGACAGCTAAAAATTGGCGGCCCCCGGCCACGCCCTCGGGTTCTCTGCTTGACGCTTGACCATTAATATAACCAAACTACGACTTGGCTCGTTTGCCAAAATGTGTCCAGAAACTTTCTAAACGAATACACAATATCTTATTTATACCCTGTAAGTACGCGAAGAAGGGCATATTACGGAACCACTTGATTTCGTGCTTATAAAACTTTGATACCAACTATTATATTATCCGTGTTTTGTTTATTTGTATTCCACCTCGTGTGGTGAATATTGAAATAGATTTATGTAAATGCGATTTGAAGCCAACTAAACAGGGTGTCCACCAGTCGTATACTCTCTCGGGTCAATCGCACTCATATCTTCTATTTATTTTCATTTTATTCATTTTGTTTGGTTTTTGAGAAATAGAAAATTGAAGCAAAAGTTTAATGCACAGCTTTAAGCCTCGCCTGCCCTCGTCTCGAATGTTGCCCAATATCCCCCTTTGCCGCCCCCCCTCACATAGTACCAAGTGACCTGCATTTAGGTGCACTTAGACCCTTGGACCTGAACACACGCAGAGTCTAAAGTTTCGTTCGCTTCTTCGTTTTACTCAGTTTAATTTTATTTTGTTTATTAAAAAGTTTTAAATGTTTGATTAAAAGGAAATTCATTACAAATTTTCTTTGCTGCTTATTACCTCAAAAGTAGCTGCAGGTTATTATTTTTCGTTGTTGTTGTAGTTATTTTTTGTTTTCGTTGTAAGGCAACTTTTGTTGAGTCTGAAAAACTTGTTAGTTTCTTGCTGATAAGGAAAACTTTTGCCTCAAATTCGATACGATAACGTAAAGTAACATGCTTGTCATTCGGATTGAAAATTGTCCATGCATTTGTTCTTATTTTTCTTTGGCTTTAGATATTATGCAATGCCTGCAGATAACAAACGGTACACATAGAGAAAAATAAATCAAGAATTCTGTGCTAAAATTAAGTAGAAACTTTGTCAAAGGGTCAACTCGAGAGTGAAAAGAAAAACTTGCTCTTTACAGAATTCTTTAAGGCTGTTTAATAATAAAAGTAAGCCAGATTTGCTTTATTTGTAGAGCAATAGATTCAACTATTTAGTTGTAAGCTAACTTTCTACGTTTGGACAGCTGCGTTCTTGAATCAGGTGAAGATATATCTTTAACCAAGGTGTTTAATACTTAAAATTAGAACTAAAAATTATATTTAAAGCATTGTCCATAAGTAACAAGAACTAAAGTTTAAGCTTTAAAGCTTTTTGTTTTCAATGCAGAATGTTGTCCATTTATGTATTTTCTTTTTATCTTAACTCAAGACTTAAAGCTTTAAAGTAACAACTATATTTAATATTCAAAGTATTTTCGTAGCAGATTTAAGTTAAAATAACATAAACAAAGTTAACTTTAAATGTGCAAAACATAACTACGCAAGGTAAATGAAAAGAGTTTCTGAAAATGTCAGAATGCTGGCGCATATGCAAGACTGAATTGCACCGGAAAAGCTCTTTTGAGCTTCGAGATTTTCAGGGAAATGCTTGCCGTATAGATTGTTTGGTTCAATGGAGGAGAAATTACTGCGTAACTAAGAATTATTTTGCACTAAACGCTGTTTTATCTAACGGCTTCCGTTTTAAGCAACTTTTTGCATAATACAGTTTTCAAACTCTGACGGCTATGCAATTAGCCTAATTTTGTTCGCATCTGTTTGGGCCAGTTGCAGTAGCCAAGGTGTTCAAGATGTCCATTATGGGCACAATTTGATTCCAGGAATTTCTGCTCTCTTCTATTTAAAGCTATTCAAAACCGAATGCATTGAAGCATCGATTATTTGCTGTACTGGTATTTTTTAATCAAGCATCGAGTCATGCACATTGTGTAAGGGAAAACCCAGGCATTGCTCTTTGAATGACCTTTGGCTTCGTCTAGGGTTACCTCATTTTATAGCTGTGCTTTTTA